GGGGGCAAGGGGGTGGGGAATGGGGACATCTATAAAAGCGTCAGTGATAAAAAGAAAATTAAAAAAAGTTATCATTTAATCCTTGTTAAGTGTATAATTCAGTGGCACTAAATATATTTAAAATTCTGTGCAACCATCACCACTATCCATTTCCAGGACTTTTTCATCAAGCTATTATTTTTCTTATTTGTAGTGTCATTTTTAAAATGAAAAAAAAAAGATTTTATATGTACCCATCTAGTTACTCTTTCTAGTGATCTTCGTTCTCTCAAGTAGTATCAGATTTCTTTTGGTACCATCATTCTTCTGTGGGAGGGACTTCTTTTCACATTTTTTGTAGTGCAGCTTTGCAGGGGGTGAGTATTTTCAGGTTTTATAGAACAGAAAAGTCTGTTTCATGAAAAGATTTCGATGTTGACAGTATTTTTCTTTCAGCCCTTTATAGGTGTTGCTCCACTGTCATCTTTTTGGTTAATATTTTAAAAAGTATTTTTTGTCACCAACCACACTACATCCCCCATTTCCTCCTCCCCCACCCTGCTTTGGGGACTCCAATTATATGTATATTATGCTGCTCAAAGTTGTCCCATAGCTCACTGATGCTCTGTTATTTTTTGTCTTCTTCCTTATTTTGTGTAGTTTATATTGTTACGTATTTAAATTCACTAATCTTTTCTATGATATTTAGTCTTCTGTTAATCCCACTCAGTGTTTTCATCAGAGTTCTTTCATCTCTGGAAGTTTGACTCATGTCTTTTTATTTCTTTCATCTCACCTTAGCATGCCCATACTTTCTTATATGGTTATAATAACTCTTTTAATGTCCCTGTCTACTATCATTTCTGGGTCATGTTCAATTGATTTTATTTTTCTTCTCATTATAGATAATATTTTCCTGCTTCTTTATGTGCCTGGTGGTTTTTGCGTGTTTTTTTAAATCCTCAGCAAGGATATTTTTTCCATTGCTTTTCAGAGAGAGTGGAAGGGGGAGAGANGCCCCCTTTACCCTTTACTACCCCCAACCCTTTCCCTCTGGTAACCACCATACTGTTGTCTGTGTCTGCTTTCTTGTATACTAACAACAAAACTTCAGAAAAAGAGATGGAAAAGAAGTTCCTTTTGCAATTGCAACCAAAAGAATAAAATACCTAGAAATAAACTTAACAAAGGATGTGAAAGGCTTATACTGAAAACTACAAAGCATTACTAAAAGAGATTGAAAAAGACACAATGAAATGGAAAGATAATTCATGTTCATGGACTAGAAGAATCAATACAGTTAAAATGGCCATAGTACCCAAAGCAATATACAGAGTTAATGCAATCCCCATCAAAATCCCAATGTCATTTTTTAAAGAAACAGAACAAAATATCATCAGATTTGCATGGAGCCATGAAAGACCCTGAATAGCCAAAGCAACCCTGAGAAAAAGAATGAAGCAGGAGCTATCACCCTACATGACTTCAAGTTGTACTACAGAGCTACCATAATCAAAACAGCATGGCATTGGCAGAAAAACAGACACACAGAATTGAGAGCCCAGAAATAAAACCACAGGTATATGGGCAGATAATTTTCATTAAAGGAGCCAGAAACACTCAATGGAGAAAAGAAAGCCTCTTCAATAAACGATGCTGGGAAACTTAGCACATACAAAAGAATAAAACATGGATGGACCTGAAGAGTATTATGCTAAGTGAAATAAGCCAGTCAGAGAAAGACAAATACCATATGATCTCACTCATATGTGGAATCTAATGAACAAAATAAACTGATGAACAAAATAGAAACAGAGGCATGGATACATGGAACAGACTGACAGTTGTCAGAGGGGAGCAGGGAGGGGGGACTGGACAAAAGAAGGTGAAGGGATTAGCCAAAGAACACATATGCATAACCCATTGACACAGATTAGAGTGCGGTGATGGCCAGAGGGAAGGGGGGATGGGTGGAGGNCCACTGTCATCTTTTTGGTTAATATTTTAAAAAGTATTTTTTGTCACCAACCACACTACATCCCCCATTTCCTCCTCCCCCACCCTGCTTTGGGGACTCCAATTATATGTATATTATGCTGCTCAAAGTTGTCCCATAGCTCACTGATGCTCTGTTATTTTTTGTCTTCTTCCTTATTTTGTGTAGTTTATATTGTTACGTATTTAAATTCACTAATCTTTTCTATGATATTTAGTCTTCTGTTAATCCCACTCAGTGTTTTCATCAGAGTTCTTTCATCTCTGGAAGTTTGACTCATGTCTTTTTATTTCTTTCATCTCACCTTAGCATGCCCATACTTTCTTATATGGTTATAATAACTCTTTTAATGTCCCTGTCTACTATCATTTCTGGGTCATGTTCAATTGATTTTATTTTTCTTCTCATTATAGATAATATTTTCCTGCTTCTTTATGTGCCTGGTGGTTTTTGCGTGTTTTTTTAAATCCTCAGCAAGGATATTTTTTCCATTGCTTTTCAGAGAGAGTGGAAGGGGGAGAGAGACAAACATCAATGTGAGAGACACACATGGAATGGTTGCCTCCTTCACGTGCTCTGACCGGGGCTGGGAATCAAGCCCGCAACCGAGGTACGTGCCCTTGACCAGAATCAAACCCTGAATCCTTCAGTCCACAGGCTGACGCTCTAACCACTGAGCAAAACCAACTAGGGCAATTGGATGCCAGACATTGTGAATTTCACATTATTGGTGCTGGTATTTATGTGTGTGTGTGTGTGTGTGTTTAATATGTTCTTAAGTTTTGTTCTAGGTCAGATATTTTCAACTGGTGTGACGCAAAAAATTTTAAAACATGCAATACCTGACTATTTAGTCAGGGGCACTGATCTCTTTTCCTTTAGATTGTTAAATAAAAAAATGGCAACAACCAACAGACCAATAGCTGTTTGGGGTGCAAGAATCAAAATTATACCTATTATTTTTGTTAGACAGGAAAATCTATTTTGGGGGTGCCGCAGAATTTTTGTAATTAGTGTATGTGTGCCATGAGATGAAAAAGGTTGAAAATTGTTGCTCTGTATTTTAGCTGTAATTCCAGGTTGGTCCTGGGAAGAGGTGAGTGTAACGGCCACCTGCTCTGCTGCCACCTTGGATGTCCACCTCAGAGAACTATTTTTAAAAGAGGGGGGTGTTTCTATGCAAATACAAGGTGTTCCCTTAAAGTCTCAGTGCAATTTTAAGCTTTGGCCCTTGTAGGAGTATAAATGTTACAGGCTTACAAAACGTCACTTGAAAGTTTAAATTTCTTTTGGACTTACTTAATTTTATAAATTTTAAATATTAAGCCGTTAATTTTAATTGTTTGTTTCAGCCCCCTCTTGAAGGTGGCAATATTGGCTGAAACAAAAAAGCTTACTATTTAAATTTTAATATTTTTCAGCCAATTGTAGTTGAAATAATATATTTAATATTTAAAACTGAATTTTTTGTTTCAGCCAATGAGGGCTGAGCCAGTCTTTGCCATCTTCAAGAGGGGGCTGACACAGAAAATTTAAAGCTTAATATTTACAACCTACAAAACTAAGTAAGTTTAAGAGAAATTTAAATTTAAATTTTTAAATGGTGTTTTATAAATTTATAGCATTTATACTTCTGCAGGGGTGCCCTGGAGGGCCCAAGCACACAATATGAAAACTTAAAATTGCAGTAAGACATGTGGACACCTCTTTTTATTATTTTTTATTTTTTTGTTAATCTTCACCTGAGGATATTTTTTCCATTGATTTCTAGAGAGAGTGGGAGGGAGGGAGGGGGAGAGGGAGAGAAAGTGAGAGAGAAATGTCAAAGTGAGAGAGAGACATCGATGGGTGCCTCCCCCACCCCCCAACTGGGGCTGGGGATCCAGCCTGCAACTCAGGTATGCATCCTTGACAGGAAATTGAACCTGGGACCTGTCAGTCCGAAGTCCCATGCTCTAACCTCTGAGTCACACCGGCCAGGCTCTCTTGTTTCTTTAACTGCTTGTTACCACGGCTTTCTGAGCAGGAGAGGTGATAGTTCTATAGTTTTTGGAGATGAGGGTCTCATGATGCTATAACCCCTCATTTCTTAAGAGAGCATGGCTTTGGTCCATTGCATGCCAATAAAATTTTCAGCACTAAGAGATCTTTCTATAGTGGCTCTGCACAGGTCTTTTTCTTTACAGCATCTGGAAATAGCCTAGGAAAGGAAACCAATATAAAAAGGGTACAATTTAAAAAAAAAGTTCCAACCTTTAAAAAAGGCATCACTGCTCAGCCACACATCCCCACTCCTTATACAGTGTATACTTACTGCCCCTTTGGGTAGATGAGGTCTACAGGGCCAGGTTCTGCTAATTCACTAGGGTAAGTCCCTTCATTAAGGGCTATAATTAGACTGCCAGAGCAAGGGGATTTAGAATTATTTAAATTTTGGGTTCCCAAAGATGTCAAGGGCATGAAGGGCTCCTAACAACAATATCATCTGTTGCCTTTACATTTGTTCCTTAAACATAATAAACATGCACTTGGGCAAAATCAGTATCTAGTCAGCTACTCAAATTCTGTCCCATCTTCATTAGTTATTACACACTCTCAGCAAACTTTAATGAAGCGGGCATGCCCTGCACTTTATTGGAAGGTAGGAAAGATCTAATGACTAAAGATCTAATAGTTCCCCATGAGGAACTAATTCATGTGCACGTTAATTATGGTAGAAACATCTTATTGTAAAGCACCACCAGGTACCACAGAAAGCGTCCATTTTACAAGCGTCCATTTCAGTTGCTGTGGTCTCACCAGGAGACATAAGCCATGAATATTACTTTATCTCATGTGCTTTACCATTTCCATTAAAACCCCGTGTACTTTCTACACCCAGGATTCAAAACCTCACATTGCACGCTCTAAATATAGGGCCCCCGGGTTAGCCACTAATGTTCTGTCCAATAAACCCGTGGGGCTGAGCTGTGATAAATATAGAAAAGACACAAATTTGCAAACTGAGTTAAGAGTGAGAAGTGGAAAATGTACAGTTATAAGAAAGGGTAGGGGGCCACATGGAAAACCATTAACAGATGAAATGTCATTTAAAATATTCAGAATCATGGTCACAAAAGAGATCTAGAATTTTTTAATAATGTGGGATCCTTGTATAAACCATAAAAGGCACCAGAAATATGACACCAAAGGGTTAATAAGCTCTTCTTTAATGTGTTAATTTTAAAAGACTTTCCATTTTCCTAACCATTGCTTAATATAATTTATGAACAGATGTTGGCTTAGGTGACTGAGGAAAACCCCACTTAGTGACTCCACAGCCTTACCTCTGTATTCTGTGCTCTTTCTTTGCAAAGAGGTTCAAACAGAACAAGCAGGTTGTTTTCATGGGCTAAGGACCGAAGGTCAAAGTAATATCTGGCATACATACTGGCAGGAATATTAATATTAAAGTGAATTAAATGTAAAAAATACATTTCTATCTCATTCCTGGGGAAGGCAGAGGAGACAAAACCAACACAGAACAAGTTTAGTCAAGCAGGCTTTCTTCAAAATATCCCGAGCTACTAGGATGGCCCTACATTTTGTTTTGAAACAAATAAAGGCCACCCAGCTGTATTAGCACCCCAATGTTCAAACGAGGTGCGGCTGTCTGTGGTTTTTTCTGCAGCCCAGCCTTTGAGTTTGGAGGAGGGGAGGCGGTTACGGCCCTCTGCTGCTCCTGTGCTGCTGACCTGGGCCCATTGGTCTGAGTCCCATCAGCGCAGCTGCGCGCATGCTCCTCACTCACTCACGAGGCCTCACTATCGAGTTGGATGAAAGGAAGATGTTTGCTGTTCTTAGCTCTGAAGAGCCTGTGGACATCTCACCAGGCCAACAGGAGGCAGGGGCGTATTGAAGCAGAGATGCGCCAACAGAATAAGTGGGCGCATCCCCATGGCAACAAATGGATCCATCCTGAGCCACCACTATTCTCTCTGAGGGGGCAACAGTCTGGAGGCAACAAGGATTCATTGCAAATAAATAAGTAAATAAATAAGCCACATTCTATGGGAAAGGGAACCGTCCTTTGCCCCAGGGCATGGGACTAAGTCAGAGTACATCATAGAAGTTTCTGTTCACCTTAATCCTACTGGGGTGAGAAATTGTCACTATGACAGGCCAGGATGCACTGTTTAAACTGTGGAAGGCAGAAAGATTCAAGATAGATGCCCTGGCTGCACTAAACCCACTTTACGACATGACCTCTGATAGAGCCCTGGAGTCAAACGCAAACAGTGTTCTCCCACGTTGGGAATGCCCTCCCGAGGTGCTCAGCATCCCCTGCCCCCGCCAGACACAATGGGAACATACCCGCAAGGAGCCTCATTTCAGTTGTGCACATGCACTCTGGTAATTCTGACTGAGTCTCACCTAGAGTAATGGGAAAGGTACCAAAAACAAACTCTTGCCACTGCCTGTCACCATCTTGATCTTCCTATGCTGTTCAATATAATCAAGAGGTGTTCTCACATGTTCCTAAGTGCCACCCACAAAGACATTCTCATTGTCAACCGGGCACTTTGAGAGTCTGCTGCAAATATCTCTTTGTCTCGTCCTGCCTACCACCCTAGAGCCCTCCACAGCAGTCGGTGTGGCCAGATCGAAAGCCCCCGTTAACTTTGGAGCTTTGCTGTCATATAGCATGCCACCTGTGGAGCGCTCCTTCATGGTCAACCTACAGCCCCACAATGCACTGCTGTGCTTGCTCAGTGCCCCAGGAAACTCGAATGGAATGGAAAGAAGTATGCAATTTAACGCCTATTTCAGTTCTCTACAATGAAATCATTCAAAATATTTTTAAACATGTAAACTTTAGGGGGGCAAAAGAGGTCCTGGGGAATGGTTAGGCAGTTTACCAAAGCCTGACAAACTCACATGTCCTTGACTGTAATGATGTTATCGATGAGCTGGCAGTAGTCCACATCCCACAGAGCCTGATTGTCCCAAAACTCGTAGGCAAGGATAGCAGCTCCCAAAAGAATTCTTTTCCAGTTAGTGGGACAAATGTCAGTATTTGTATAGGTCAAAAGCCTTTCCAAGTAAACCTGCAAAAGTAGAGCACTGGTCTTTGATTTTAGTCCAGTGTAAGTGCTGTGGTAAGGACTGTTAGAAATGACAGCTTTCACCCATTTTTGAATGAAATTTCTTTTTTTTTTTGGTTAATCCTCACCTGAGGATGTTTTTTCCATTGATTTTTAGAGAGAGTGGAAGTGAGGGAGGGGGAGAGAGGGAGAAACATCGATGTGGGAGAGACACATCAATTGGTTGCCTCCTACACATGCCTGACCGAGCAGGGATTGAACCTGCAACCCAGGTACATGACCTTGACCAGGAATCGAACCCACAACCCTTTGGTGTGCAGATCAATGCTCTAACCACCGAGCCACGTTGGCGAGGGTGAAATTCCTTTTATACTTAGGTTCTATAGAAACTGCTTGGCCAGCTAAAGCCGGGGGCCAAGTCATAGGTGCAAATCATACTTCTGTTGCCTACTTTGTCCATGTGAACTTTTAGCCCAATTTTTGGTCACAGGAATGAATGGACATGTTAGCAAAGGACATCCTGAAGAAATGCATTGTGTTTTTATTACCTTTCCACTTGTAAAGGTCAGCACGTACAAGCCCAGTGTCAATTCAAGTTGTTCAATAAATACTTGAGTGCCGACCACATGCAATGCTTCATGCCTGAGTGGTATTTGCCTTCGCGACACAAACCAGAGCCCTTCATCCCAACTCCCCAAGATCCCTTAAAAGCATGTAGGGCACTGCCATTTGCCTGGTTGCTGGGACCCAAAACCTCCACTTGAGTTAGCTTGCTCCGATCTGTTAGCAATTCTTGTTATCTCCACTGATCACTGACAATCAGATCGCTTTCTATTCTACTTGTCACTTCTCACCTGTGTCACTGTTTTTGCCTCCTGACTTTACTGCCTGCATTCGGACTCCCAGCGACAGTCTCTTCTCCCCAAAGCAGCCAGAGAGACTGTGTAATTAAGAGCACTTCGCTCCCCGCTGGAGGGAGGACTAATAAAATCCCAAGCACTTCTCACTAGAAGAGAACCTATTTCAAAAGGTTAAAATCTTACCATAGGAATTCTGTGTGGATGGCACAAAGGTCCTTACACAGGTGTAGCTTAGCAGGCCACTAGCAAAGCCTTTCAGGTGCGATTGGCACTGTGATCTGGGGCGACTTCACAGGCAGGCACAGGACAGCAGGGTTGGAGGAACAACCCTCATTGAAGGAACAGAGAATCTAGGGCTCTAGTTCCCAGTCAGGGCACACGCAAGAGCTGCCCGGGGCACAGCCTGGGGCTCAGCGGGACCTTCCCCGAGCCAGTCTGTCCCCCGCCCTGCCAGGCCCGCACACCCTGTATGCGTGTGCACTTCAGGTGCGTGTGTCTCCTGAGGAGTGGAGGGAGAAACTGGAAATCTCTCCTGATGTCTTTAATAGCAATGGTGACATTTTAAATTGCAATGATTATTTAGCTCAAATGTGTGTATTTTACTTACTTTGATAGGTTTCGCTTAACAAAGTTCTGATGATCATTTCAGGAACCTACTTTGCTTTGAAAAGCAGGACTGTACCCTATGTACAGGACAGAAAAGCTGCCTTCTGCAAGAACTGTCTTACCAAAGTCACAATTGCACATTCGGCGGTTAGGTGTTCGGCGCTGAAAAGAGTACAGACAAATCTGTAGATAATTTTCAGTTCAGGATCGAGCATGAAGTGGTCCCTTGTAATTAGTTCTTGCTGAAAAGAGAAAACATGCAATATAAGTATCCACTGAAGAAAAATGATTGGGTGACATGTCTTTTAGTCTTTTAAATATAAACAATGGATCTTAAACAATACTGATTCAATGCTCACCAGTTATTAAAGAAAAATACAAGTGCAACCTCAGAAAACGTATATATGCTCCTTCCACCTTCGCCCTACAGAAGTCTACCTAAATGAAAACTATTTTTAGGCTCAAAGTCTTGTTGATTGCCTGTCATACTTCTCTGTCACCAACTCTGAAAGTACATTTTCAGTTTCCTGTAACTCTGAGACCCTGTGCTCTATAGTCGTCTCCAGCCACATATTGCTACAGAGCATCTCAAGAATGAATTTGAAAATTTCTGTCATTTTAATTGATTTAAAATTTAAATAGTTGTTTAATTTTTTTCATAGATATTTTAACCTATCTTTTAGGTTATTTAAAAATATTTATGTTGTTTGATATCTTTTCAAAAGATACATTTACTTACTCGAGGCACAGTTATTATCCAAAGCTGAGGCTCGGTTCTTAGTGACGTGTCCCTTACACAAACACTCCTGTGTAAAATAATTAGATACAGCATGGAGTGGGGAAGAAGACTTAAAAGAAGATGGCTTTGACTTCAAGCTGGAGGGAGTCATTTTCTTCTAGCGATTCATTTCAAAGTGGATCAGTATGAAAGAAACACAACTGCATGAGAGAAATAGAACCTCAATAAAACCCACACTTACTGCGAATGGATGTGTTCTTTCGTCAAAAATGTCGTAGGATCTGTTTCCAACTCTATAAAATAAGAACATGCATTTAAAAAATGAACTCAGGAATTGCTACTATCACCTGGGAGTGGAAAGGGGGCACAGGGGAAGCTTAACTTTCGACAAGCAGTTTTGCAAACTCTGGCCTTAGATTCGGTGAGAGGGTTTCCTGACTTCTTTTTACTCAGCACATCCAATTCCGTGAAATCTTTTCCTCACTGACTTCATGAGCACTGACCCTGACAGGCAATGCTAGTCAACCAAACCTGTTTCCATCCCTCTCAGCTCACACTGAAATACACAGAGCATTTTATAAAGCTAAGTGTTGGGCAGTCGTGTCTTTAGAATTTTAATTCATGTGGATATGGGATTAATGTTTCTCCTATTTCCCCCCCTCTTAGTGTTTTCCTATATTATATTCTTATTATGTATTTCTTCCTGCCTCTTTGAAATAGTTTGAGTTAAAATCGTGCCTTTCTATTTTAAAAGAGACCCATCTTTTGATGAACTGTTCCCGCACTAAAACACTCTGTTCATTGGAAGTGGTTCTCCAAGTGCGCTCTGGGCCACCAGGGTGAGGGTCCCCTAGGCCTTCTCAGGAGGCTGTGAGGTCAAAACTATTTTTATAGGATTATGGCAGCATTACCTGCTTCCACACCGACTTTGCAATGAGCAGGAATGAAGGCAGGGGCACCACACTGTGCTAGTAGCCATCCCATTCTTCACTGCCACTTGCAGTTGAAAAAAATCCTGCTTTACTAACGTTCTTGATAAAGCAGTAAAAATGAACAGTATTGCGAACCTTGATCCTGTGCTCACATCCTGAACATGGGGAAGGCACCCACCAAGCACTTCTGCACAGGGAAATGTGGTTAAGGAAAAGCACTTACAACTTAGTTGTGAGCAGAACAAGCCACTTTTTTCACAGAATAACATCTTTATTTGATGGTACAACTGTCATCCTCTCAAAGATAAAAAGTGAGCCTGTCAGTTCAGGAAAAATTGTGTATTTGTTTCCAATGACATAATTCAAGCTATCAAGCTAAAAATCAGGATTTGAGAAAATGTGTACCTTCTTTCTGTTCTTTCTTTCTTTCTTTTTGTTGTTGTTGTTGTTGTGTGTAGGTGTGTGTGTGAGAGAGAGAGAGAAACATCAATTTATTGTTCTACTCATTTGTACATTCATTGGTTGATTCTTGTATACGCCCTGACTGGGGATCGAACCCACAATTTTAACATACTGGGACAATGCTCTAACCAACTGAGCTATTTGGCTGGGGTAAAAATGTGAACCTTCTTTTGTGAGCTTGACGGCTTTTCAATACTTAAAGATTTTTCTGGTAAGATTGGTAGTGATACTCACAAAAGCGAGTTTTGACACTGTATAAAGAGCGTGAACCAGTACTTTCCAAATGATCAACACAGAATATCATAAAATAATGTACAAGTAAAAGATCCATTCAGCGTACAAGAGAGATCAATGAGTATTAACAGAATACTTACTGCAAGTTCATGGATATGATTTAAAGTTCCATTGTAAGTAATTTTAAAAAACAGCACTTGTGGACTTTTGGTCTAGTATCAAAGAATATTCACAATTATCTGAGGCTTTAGATATTTAGAATATTCACAATTATCTGAGGCCTTTTTCTAGCCATACTACACGAGGCTGTCTTCTTCATATTGCTTTTTCAAAACAAAGGATTAAAATGATTGAAGTAATTGCAAATGATTGAAGACAGAGTATACATGAGAATCAGGTGTCTTCTATCAAGCCAGACGTTAAGGAGATTTGTAAAAATAAATGACACACTTTCCACTCAAACTTTAGTGTGGAAAGTAATTGTTTTTCATACAAAATTATATTATGGTTCCCAAGCAGGGGGGATTTGGTCCCCTAAGGAGGCATTTGGCCATGGCTGGAGACATTTTTTGTTGTGATAATGTAGGGGGGGCTGCTATTGGTGTCCAGTGAATACAGGCCAGGGACGCTGCTAAACATCCTATACCATGCAAGACAATCTGCCACAACAAAGCATTATTTAGCTCAGAATTTCTGTAGTGCTAAAAAAAATTTTTTAAACATACAGTGTACTTATTTTAAAATTCTCTATTTTAATTTCTAATACAGCAAATAGCAATATAACCCACATAAACAAAAACTCTTTGGGATCCTCAATAACATAAGTGTTATGAGTCATAAGACAAAAATAAACGATTCGCTTCAATCATGTAATAAAAGCAGTCCACGGCTTACTCCAAAAGTGTATACAGTTATGACCCGACACTGAACTTGATGTCTTATAAATTTATTAGCTAGAATAACAAGACAGGTTTTAAAACTCACCTGTTCTTTATGCGCTCATGTATCGCCAAGGTAACACTGTGGAGGAAAAGAGAATTGTAGCAGCTGATTTTATTGTCAGGTCTGAGGGCATTTTTCAAGGGGTGGGGGTGGGGGAAGATCTTCCCAGCTGCCCAGGGGCCTCGGAATCCTCATTCACAACAGTGCCATATGGGCACGTTGCCCTTGTTTAGGTATTTTGCTTTAGCAAAAATAGAACCAAAATGCTAGGTGATATGCTGTTAGAAGATATGTTTCAATTTATTATTATAATACAGGGTGGGGCAAAAGCAGGTTTATAGTTGTGAGTACATGAAACAGTTTATTCTTGTATTATTTATTAATTATTGTATCATTTTCCATACAAACAACTATAAACCTACTTTTGCCCCACCGTGTACATGTTACTACATATTCCCCCATCATTTGCCTTCCTACCCATAGAACTTTCATTCTGTACACGCTATATGCATTTGTACACTTGCTCAAATTTAAGCCATATAGTAGTAGTTTTTGTGCTTTTTAAAGAAGTTGTTAGGCCCTGCATTTCAGTTGATTTAGTTCACTGTCCACCTATCTACCCATTTTTCATTTTCCTAAAAGTAAATAAAGTGTTCTATACTAAAAAAAAAGGTTTAAGGTCACTTTTACATAATTATTAGAAAATTTAATGGCAAATGTAAGATACCACACATCGGTAGGTCCAGCTATCCTGACACAAGCAGTGCTAACAATGCAGCACACTTCCTCACAGTGTAATATTTATAATAATTTCCTAAGTAGGTTAAATGAGATTTTAATGAGCAGATGTATTCAGATACTATGTAAGTGACTGGGTTTTAAGTTATTCACAGATGTGGTGTCATAGGCAACAAAGAGGTTCTCTTATTTAAGTTAAATGCTTCTTCTCCTTGCCCTCAGTGTCTAAAGGAAGCTCCATTTAACCGAGAGAAGGCAAATCCGAATTTTATAACTAGGTCTGTAGAATATGAGCAGTTGTCAAAAGGCCTATAACACTGTGAGCATCGAAGATGGACATTTCTCTTGTGCTTCAAACAGCTTCACCTTCAAATTGATTTCAAAGTCACAGAGTTTGAAGCATTATAAGCTGCAAAGGACCACTGAACTTTAGATGATATTTAATTCAACAACCTATTTTATAGATAAGAACACAGAGGCTTAAAACAGACTTGCTCAAGGTCCTGCCAATAGTGAGGAGCGGTTCTTTCTCCCCCCCTTAACCAGGCAGTGGTCCCCAAGTTTGGCTGTACACTGGATCATCTGGGGAGCTGTGGAAACTACCCGGCTCCTGCCTTGAGATGTTCTGACTTAACTGGAGCTGGGAAGACGTGGGACTGTTCGCAAAGCCCCCCAGTGCTGCAATGCGCAGCAAAGTTTGGGATCCCATGAATCAGGGTTAAGATGAGAATTTCCATTTGCTTTTGTCCATATAATCATGTCTCACAATTTTCCTCAGCTGACCAAAAGATTGTGACATTGACAGGCTGTGTTGGGGAGGGGGCATGAAATGCATGTATTTAGAAGCAAAGGTTTTGAAAAAAGTTGCATCCCCATTGAGAACAATATATGATGATAAACATTTTTCAAAATCATCCCTAAAAGCCAATTAACCCTATTGATTTTCTCAGTAAACCTTTATTTCACCAACAGTGAATGTTCTGAATGATCATTTTCAGAACTTAAGGAGAACAAATTAAAACTTATTGTACTTCCAAAATTAGACTAATTTGGAGAAAGAAGCATGAAACCTACTTGTCTGAGCAAGGTTAACCTCTAAAACTACTTTTAAAAAATATATATATATCTTTATTGATTTCAGAGGGAGGAAGAGAGGAGAGAGAGAGAAACATCAACAATGAGAGTCATTGATCGGCTGCCTCCTGCACGCCCCTGACTGGGGATGGAGCCCGCAACCCGGGCATGTGCCCTGACCGGGAATCGAGCCCCGATCTCCTGGATCCTAGGTCGATGCTCACCTGCTGAGCCACGGTGGGCCAGGCTAAAACTACATCTGAGTTATATCCTCTAACATCAGACTCTTTTGAATTCAAAAGAAGCTACAGAATGGAGTGAAAATTGAGTGTTTTTTTTACTCTTGAATTTAGTGTCCTGGCTGAATGAAAACATTCAATAGGCCTCAAAGCTCAGGACTTTAGAGAGAGACGAGGCTCAGTTTTTGCTGAAACACAATTTGATCTCAACTATTGTTACAAGTGAGAGAGGAAAGTTACGTTATAATAATTGTGAACTTGCTGGTTTTAATTAAAGTGGAAGTTACTGATAATTAGCAAAAAAGCTGGTACATTATAAACAAAATTATGCTTGTAAGTAAATTCTATTTTTAAGATTGAAAAACAAAATTAAAGGTGAAGATATTAATATTGTCAGGGATCATTTCCCAAACTGTGTTCTGGGAAATCAACACTTGTATTCCAGAGCCACAGTGACAATGTACCTTGGACAACCCAATGGGAGTCAGGAAATTCTACATTATATATGTATTTCTCTCCTGCATAAGCTTGGAAGTTCTATCTTAGAGTGTTTTTAAAGTTCACCCCATTCGTGGACTATGTGGTGTTCCCAGAAATTAGTAAGTACTTTTCAGCATCATAACACTGTTAAGTTTGCTGAAGTATAAACCTGACTATGGCTATGCTTCCAAAACTTCATCTCGCTCATTTTTTCCCCTGTGATTTTTATATATATAGATTGATATAGTGTCTTGAAGGTATATTTATATATCTATACATATATATAATTAAAATTAATATATCTATTAAATTAAATAGGTATTAAATTAGATTCATATTAAATTAAATAGATTCAAATCAGTTGAACAAATTTTATCCACAAAGAAATTAGCTTGAAAAGTTGGTTCTTAAGACTGGTGTGATACATTCTCCCCACAAACTTTGGGGGGTAGGAAGGAGAAGTGAATTTTTATACAGAAATAGTGCAGGAAAAATGTATGATGGGAAATATCTGATAAAATCCAACTAAATTTTAATGCAGATACACTCTGGTGCCAGTAGGGGACAAAATGTTCTTTCTTCTAAGAGTAGCTTCCAAAGTGATGTGCCCATGTCTCATAAAGAAATACTTTTTAATGGAAACATCCAATAAAAGCACCTCTCCTTTTCATTATGGTCAATAATATCTTAACAATGGAAATGCACCAAATAAAGATCAATGCTTTCTGAGGGATTTCTTATTTGCTAACTGGCTTTCCCTTCTTCCATTCACTTTAGGAGTAAAATGGAAATTGAAAATTCATATTTAGGTCCTTGAAATCAATATACAGTTGACACCAGTTTCTTAACCTCATCACCGAAAGGACGACCAAATGATTGAAATTACAGGTAAGTGGGTGCTTTTAGCAAAAGGGGGCTGTCCGCCCTTGGCAGCCCAGCTGGACTCACCATTGGATTGTGGTTCTGAAATTCGGCTGGCTGACTGTGCTGTCATCGAGAAATACCGTTGGGCATGACCTATACTTTTTAGTAAGGCGCCCCGGAAATCCCTAAAAAGGAGGGGAAAGAGCAGAAAATGTTACAGTACGTTAAACCTGTAAAAGTGTGTTTTTTCTTTGGTTAAAATGTCAAACGACTAAGCATTAGGATTTCTCTTACACTCCATGAACTGCTTGCGTGTGATGCGGTCAGCTCTATGGGAAATGCATTAGCTACTCCAGCCTGCACAGATGAGATCTGAGGAATGGGTTATCAAATGCTGCCCTTGACAGCGTACCGATAAACCTGGCAAACACCTATTGTAAATGCCCTTTATAACAGTGTAAAAAGTTTCGAATGAGACTTCAGTGTTTTTTCCCCTTAAGAAATGAAAAGCAGCTGAGATTTTCTGCATCTACTGTTCATTTACTACAGTTACATGTAATGCCTTATATGATAATAAATCAGGACCATTTCATTGCAGTAAATGAAAGCCACTAATAAATATTAGTTCAGGAGCCAGGGGGACAAAACAGGCATATTTGACCAGAGGTGTGTGTGCCGGGGCTGCCCCTTCGCTAACAAGCTGGGGCCCAAAGGTCTCGCTGGGGCCCAAAGGTCTCTCGGAGCCTCACTCTCCTCATCTAGAAGGTAAAGTGGTGTCCGAAGACCCTCTCACGTCCAAAAAACCAACAACAAAGCAAAAAACGAAACCAAAACCAGATGACACAGCTTTCGGAATTTAAATCTCACTTCAGGTGTAAGACTATCATTACTCAAGTGAGAACCTCAGGAAATAGTTTCCATTCATTTCCAAATGTCATGAATTCCATTCTCTCAGTTGACACTGGTCACCACGCTCAGAATCTGGGACAGATTAGCAGTTCAACAAGTGCTTGACAAAATTTTTAANGCACTCTCACCACGCTCAGAATCTGGGACAGATTAGCAGTTCAACAAGTGCTTGACAAAATTTTTAACATCATTTATAGCTGGAAGGTAAATCTTACTGCAGATACTAATTAGAATTTCTCTGCAGTGGTATTGGAGAGGTGACAATAAACTTCTTGATGAACCTTTAGAAAATAAACGATCTTAACACACTTTAGACATCTCCATTTATTTTACAAGTATCCATTGATTTGCAAAGAGCCCAACAATTCAGCAATAATCAAATACTGACATAGCCTAGACTATGTTTTGCAAATTCTCTTCCTTAAAGTAAAGCCACTGATGAATCCCAGTCACTGTAAGTAGTTGAAAGTAACAGTAGCATTCTTGAATATCAGAAAATGCCAACAATTTTAATAGGCTTGGTTTTGTTGTTCTTTAAACTAATTCAGATGAGCCGTCCTTCCTCATATTCATAGAAAATAGTTTTCATTATGCCATCAGACTTTCCCGTCAGTATCCCCCACAAATGCACAAAAGATTGGGCAGGGGGAAGATCTACTTGATGCCTCTTAAAATACAGAGCATTTTAAAATCACCAGTAGCCAATAATCAGAAAGATCCCCATATTACATAAAACACCATTTTGCTTGTTTCAGATGTTTCACTGCAAAGCCACTTATTCTTTATTAACCAAAAGTTGCAGGTGGTATATTTTTTGAAAAGTATCACTATTTGGAGAAATAAATTCTCCTTCAAGCTAGAATAATTAGGAAAACAGAAAAGATTTAGAAAACCTGCAAAAAGAGGTCCATGCTAATGGTATTGGGCCCATTATACCTTTTAGGAATCATGGCAGACAACTTTTACATCAAACTATTAATTTCTTACTTAACTTTTCAACTGTTTACTTACATGAATCACATCATTGTTCTTCTTCTTGTCTTGCACTAAGAATAAAAAAATTAACTGATCAATTCTGATACAAATGCCATAGAAAAATAAAAGTTGCTGATTATCTGACAGACTGCAACACACAAAATGAGACAAAATTTTATTCCATTGTAAATAATTTCCAACAAAATTTATAATTTGAATTGCCTGGAAAGACGAGCCCCATAAAGTAAAATCTAAAAACTTCATTTTACTTGACCTAACGTATAATCTCCATTAGGTACAAATGAAAGACTCTCCATATAGAAGGAAAGGGCAAAACAAATTAGACCAGGTGAGAAACTTAGCTAATGAAAAAGTTTACCTGTTGCATATCTGAACCTCTACCCAGTGGTAGTTTCTGATTCTACATTTACACCCACCTCACTTGAACCCCTAGGATCTAACAGTTGCCAGCTCTGAGAGCCAGTTTCAGGCCGGGCACTAATCCTTAGACTCCTCAGCATCCCTGGAAATGTCCTGAACCACTTATTGATAATCAACTAAAATATCTTACTAAAAAAAAGGGGGGGGGGTCTTTACTCAGTTGGAAAGTAACTTATTTAAATTTAAAATTTAAAATATGAGTGCTAACCTAGCCCTGGCTGGGCGACCTCCTGTGCTGATCAGGGCAAATGCCCAGGATGTTGGCTTGGTCCCTGGTAGGGGGCGTGCAGGAGGCAGCCAATGTTATGCTCCCACATTGATGTTTCTCTCTCTCTCCCTCTCCCTTCCTGTTTCTCTAAAAATCAATAAACTATTCTTTAAAAAATAAAAAAATAAAATGCGTGTGCCAGCCTAATTGAACACGGCTACAGCACACAAAGCTGTTCTGCACTCCCAAGGGCCAGACAAGAACAAACTCCCCAGAGGCTCTTGGGCTAGCCTGCTGCCCACACTGCCCCCTACAGTGTGGGTCAGGCAGCGTAGACATATGTCCCTTGAGAGCGAAGAGCTGCTTCTTCGGGAAAAATCCAAGCAAACGAAAAGCTCCAAAACAAACGCCTATTCTCTGCAGCGCTGTCAGCAACATTTCACATTGTTCAGTAATTCAGTTAAGCTCCCTCTTCCACACTTTCTTTCCTTCTGTGCTCAAATCATAGTTGGGAGGAATAAAGCAGTTTCTATCGGCAACTGAGAAGAGCCCACTTACACCATATAACCCTGGCCAGTGGCTCCGTTGGTTGGAGCATCATCCTGAGCACCAAATGTCGCGGGTTCAATTCCCGATGAGGGCACAGACCTAGGCTGTGGATTTGATTGTTGGTTGGGGTGCATATGGGAGGCAACCGATCGATGTTTCTCTCTCACATTAATCTTTCTTTCTCATATCGATTTCTCTCTCCCTCTCCCTCTCTCTAAAAATCAATTTAAGAACACACACCATATAGACTCTCCTATGTTCGTCTCTATTTTGAATTTAAGTAACAAACCGTAAAATGTTTGCATCTGAATTGTCTTGAGTATCAACTGCCTTAACAGGTGGGAGCAAGGGTACCACAGGCCCTCGCCTGCTTCCTTCACTTAGGCACCATGCGGATAGACAAGGATAGGGGATGGGATGGATACCCTGGAGTTGGGTATTAAAGTTTCATTGAGAAAAGAAAGAAAATATACCCCAGAGTCTCATGAAGTCCCACGAGATGTTAAATAGAGCCATAAACAGGAAGGGGTGCAAACCGGAGGGTCACAGGCAGGGGTGGGAAATGGCTGTAGGGGAAAGGATTGGGTGCTAGGGTAGTAAAGAGGAAAAAAACTGGCTGGCCACCTGGGGAAGGAGTTAGGGGTGGGGACCCCAGGCAGAGCCAGCTTCCACCCCAGTGCCTAGCTCTAGAAAGCTGGCTCCAGGCAGGAAGGAGCCCAGGCAGTGGCTCCCTCCCAGGGGATGCGGGGGCGGCGGGGGCCAGAGGCAGCCAAGGAGCAGGTGGCATTTGCCTCTTCTTACCTTCGGGCGTCTCTGGGCCTCTGGTGTTCTCCGGGTGGAGGCCCTTGAAGCCTCCGAAATTCCACTTGGGGGGCTTCGGGGAAGCAGGAGAGGTGCCTGCTGCCACCGCATCCCTGGCAGCCGCCTCATAAACCTCAGGCTCACACCTTGGCTCAACCCGCCTGGAGTGTCGGCCCAGCTTGGGGTTGGCACTGGGCTTCAGGCAACAGGTCAGCTTGTTCCCCATGGGGAACCTGCACTCCTCACTGCTGTTGCCGGTTCTCTGGCACCCCAACTCCCCCCCACCCACGCCACAGCCCTCAGCAGTTCCCTTTCCCCCAGCAATGGCCTCACCAAAAAAGCAGGTAAGACCTCACCCACTGTTTGCTTGGCCGCTGGGCTGCCAGGCCCTGGGCAGGGCTCAGGGCCCAGCCACACCCCTCAGGTTGACTAGTCTGAAAGGACAGCAACCAACCCGACTTATTTAAAATGGGTAGGGGCCAGGCAAGCGCTGAGAGCTGCAGCCACCGCGGGAGGAGAGCACAGCCCAGGCTCCTTGCCTTTCCACAGTTGCCTCTCAACTGAAGGCTGTTCCCCTGGCAGGTGCCAGCCAACCAGGACACATTCCGCAGTTACCTGGTTACGAGGGACCAATCCCACCGAGTTCCACCTGCTGGAGCTCACGGAGAAGCCAGTGACTTACAACCCCTTCCCCTAGACGTGGGTTTCCATTCATTGCCCACGGCCCAGAGCTTTCCAGCCCCGCGGGAAGCGCAGCGGGCATTCATTAATGCCAGCAGGCCTGTTCCATTAGTATCCCCGTTTCCCCAGGTCTGACAGCCCACCCATTTGATGTATTGCTCACTGAACTTAGTTACACCCTAACTGTTGACCATTTTTGTAATTAAATGCTCCTTCTCTCTATCTTCCAAAAAATGTTAGTTTTCACCTGCGCCTTGACTGTAGCAACCCTTGGAGCCCTGGTCCTGCTCTCGGTAAAGAGCTATGACTGTGTGTCTTAAATGAGACTCAAGGAAACATCACCCCTCTGCTTCCTCATAAGTGAAATAGGGACCAAACTTGTCTATCCCAGGTCAGAAACACAGGGGTTTACCAGTTTGCTTTTCTCTGTTTTTCCTTTTTTCCAGATTTTCCTTTTTTGCCAACAACAATACTTAAAGCCAAGCTTAAGGAAGCACAGAGAGGCACACAGAGGGACAGATGGAGACCCTGGCCAGGTCAGTGCTTGTGTCCTCTAGGCTGCTGGCCTTTCCCACACCCCAGCTCTTGGTCTGCAGTGGGGCTCCATGGGCCTGAGGGCCTGGGCAAGGGAACTGGGCAGGCTCTGCCTCTGCACCTGTGGGCACACAGAGCTCCCGGTGCAAACCTCCTCTCCAGAGGCCCAGCTTCCACAGGTTGGCATGGAGTTGGGGCCTGGGCAAGCAAAGGACCCTCTCGTCTGGGAATGCATGGACTGGGGAGTACACATTGGGGCCCAGTGTGGTTTTGCTACATCTGAACTCCTTGGGAGCCCTGGAGTTAGGGGCCCCCTTACTTGCTATCCACCACCATGCTTCCCACAGCGCTACAGGACCAGCTCTGCTTGCTGTTCCAAACCTTGCTGTTCCCATTCCCAAAGGAGTTCACCTGACCCTGGGCTGGGTCTCCAGCTGCACCTCCTGCCTGCTGGACAGGCTGGGAATTGGCAGTTCTGGGATCCAGTGGAGCAATTTCCCTGCTCAACTGAGCTGTGTGCTCCAGGGCCTCATGTGAGTTGTATGAAATTGAGCCCTGATTGCTGTTGGCATGTCAATGGGTGGAACGGACCCTCTGGCTGACTGGTTGTGAGGACTGGCCATGGGTACAGTGGATGTGCTGATGTGGGAGGGCTGAACCCATGGAGTGGGATTCACTTTAGTGGAGCTCTGGTGCCTGCCTAGTCCACCCTTTGTGCGTGTCACTTGTGGGACTAATTGGCTGGTGCCCTGGTGTGCTCTGAGCTGGCCACCAGGTGCGTTGGTATTTGGGCCTCTTGGGAGGGGCTCCTGTGCAGGCCAAGGTCAGCCGCTTCGTGTGCCTGGCCTGCGGCTTCCATGGTAGGAGCTAGAGTGATCTGTAGTTGGTAGCTATCTGTGCTAGGCTTGGAGTTGCCTGGGAGAGGCTGGCTGCCACTAGTGACAGCCGAGCTTGAGGCCATTTAGCAAGTTGTACAGTATACTCTGAGGCCAGCCGCTCGCTGCTTGTTTGGGCTTTGAGGACCAATGAGAGATTATTGGACCAATGAGAGGTAATTCCACAGAGTAGGTAGAGGCCAGCTGCTTGTGAGGAAGAGCTGCTGAAAGAGGTTCGGGCCTGTGTGCTGGGTGGGTGGGGCTGGGTCTCAGGGAATCACCAGGGTGAGGCAAGTGGTGTTACCAGATAGATGCAGGCTCAGGTTTTGCACCACCTGTGCCTGCAGGCTGGGTGGGGGGAGAAGCAACAAAGGAACAATGGCCTCTACCAGCACTTCTGTCCCAGACAGAAGCGCCCCCCCCAGCTCTCACCCTGAAGGCAGACAGCTCAGTTCCTCCCTGACGCTCTTTTCAAGCTATTGTCCCTTTGCTGCAGCTTCGGGCTAGTGTTTGTGAGCCAGTGAGATTGTGTTCAGGCCGTTTAAAAGGACGCCTGGGTCTCCAGCAGCCCTCCATCTCATCCACACAGAATCCCCGCTGGTTTTCACAGCCGGATGTTGTGGGGACTCCTCTTCCCAGCCCTGGTGCTCCGGGATGGGGAGCCTACTGTGGGGCTAAGACCCCTCACTCATCAGGAGGCACCTCCAAAGCGGATTTTCCACCACCACATATGGCTATGGGACCAGCCTGTTTCATGTCTCTGCCCCTCCTACCAGCCTCCCCGTGGCTGCTTCTGCAGAGCCTTAGTTACAGGAATTCAATTCAGCTAGCCTTCAGGTGGTTCTCCAAGTCGATTGTTCTATAATTTAGTTGTAGCCAGGCCCGTATGGCTCAGCAGTTGAGCATCGACCTATGATCCAGGAGATCATAGGGCACATGGTCAGGGCACATGTCTGGGCTGCAGGCTTGATCCCCAGCAGGGGCTGTGTAAGAGGCAGCTGATCAATGACTCTCTCATCACTGATGTTTCTCTCTCTGTCTCTCTCTCTCCCTCTCCCTTCCTCTCTCTGAAATCAATAAAGATATATTAAAAAAAATAATTTAGTTGTAATTTTGATGTGGTCATGAGGGTAGGTGAGCACAGTGTTTGCTTACTCTGTCATCTGATCAGAAGTCCCGTCCTTACAAACTTTTGTCTGATTTATCAGTTTCTGACAGTGATGTGTTTACACAATATATCATGGTATTTATATATTTCCTAAAACTTAGTTAAAAAAAAAGTTTTGATTTTAGAGAGAGAGGAAGGGAGCGGGAGAGAGAAAATGAGAAACATCAATGTGAGAGAGAAACATTGATTGGTTGCACACACCCCGACTGGGTATGAAACCCGCATCCTGGGCATGTGCCTGACTGGGATTTGAACCAGAGACCTTTTGGTACATGGGATGATGTTCAGCCAACTGAGCCACACCAGCCACACCAGCCAGGGTGAAAATTAGTTATTTTTAATTGAATCTTTTCTTCACTATTCTCCCATGTAATCATCTTGAGTTTTAGTAGAATGTTTTTAATGTCTTGTTTTCAAAACTAATACTAATTTTCATACACTTATTTTTTGTTTTCCTCGTGACTCCTGTGATGGTTTTCTGGGTTCACATTTCTTCTCCCTGGTGTACATTCTTTACTGGTTTTCTCAATAAAGAACTTAGGAGAGGTCAACTTTGAGACTGTATGTCAGAAAATGTCTTTATCTCCTTCTTTGACAGATAGCTTGGCTAGGTGCTTAGTTTCTTAGTAATTCTTTTTCCTTCCTTACTATTTAATATTTCTTAGCTAGCACATCTTTATAGAAATAAAGCCCCAAGGATGGTGAGAATAACTGAGACAATGCATTCCAAGCTTATCAATCATGTTGCTCAGCAGATATGAAGTTATCAATAGTGATAGCTAATATTATCATTATTAAAATCTTCAAAAAGTACATTCATTCTCAAAGAATGGCTGTTTAAGATTGAGGAGCAGAAGTTTGCACCAAAAAAAAAAAAGGAATGGTTGTCATTACTGGGACTTTAATTTTTGGCCCTTGGGTGTCTTCAGCTGAGGTCATCTGCAAAATGTGTAGAGATCATACATCTGTTTCTGCAAACCCACTGCAGGACAGCACAGCTGGCCCCATGCCTGCGATGCTTTGAGCTGCTTACTGGGGAGTTTCTGCTATAACTGTCTTGTCAGATTCTGCGTAGACGTCTGAATAAAGACTCATTCTCTCACATTTTCCCCGAGTTTTATTCACTGTACATCCAAAGCAGACACTCTCTCTCTAGAGCCTGGGTATCACTCTGGATCCCTACATATCAAGTCATTTCAGGTCCTACGTCCCAGGCTGAATGCAGAGTCAAGTCTAAGCCATTCCTTCCAGCCTGTCCTATTTTCCATCTTGGAGAACCACGAAGAAAGAGGAGCCACCGAGGCAGGTTGATCTTAAGTCCTGGCGAATCTGAACTTCAGAGAATGAAGTAGTGCCGTTGGCGCCTGAGATGCCAGGGCTTTGGGGTGGGAAACGTGGAGGAACAGAGATAAGTGTGGTGGCTGACACAAGTCAGGGGCGTGTGTTGCAAAGTTTCCTAAGAAAGGAAACCTCGCACTGAAGAGGATATGATTCAGTACAAAGGCAATTTCTGCTCCAGGTTTGCCAGTTCTGCTGTTCCTGAGGGATAAAGCGATGTGAAACCACAAGACAGAACCAGCAGCTGCCTTCAGGACTTAACGAAGGGGGAGGATTTTATCTTAGTTTCCTTGAACCAGACAGGGGCCGTGTTGGGAAGGGCCCAGAGACTGACGGGCGGTGTGGCAGGTCTCTCGGCCACACTCCTTTGGGCCCTAGCTGGGAACAGGGGCCTCTGGCAGACCGCGTCGTCGCAGCGTCCTCTGGTCTAGGCATGGCAGGTGCAGGCATCATCGCTGGATCTCAAAATCGCCCTCCTTCTTCCGCAGGCACGTGGTGACCTGCCAAGGGGAGGAGGGGAGGGGGCCTCAGCGTGGACTGTTCAGCTGCCCGGTAGATGCCAGGGAAGAAGATGGCCAAAGCCAGAGGCCAGACGTGCCCTTCTCCTTTTTAAATTTAATTTTCTCCCTCAGTCCTTTTTGTCCTTTCCTTTTTTCCTCTTTTAACCCTTCCTGTTTTTCTCTCTCCCTTTTCACTCTCATTTGTTCTACCATTTCCCTTCTAGTAACCGTTTATGTCCCTCCC